CCCCACACCCGACCAATAGTGAGAGAGGATCCATGGTAAAATGCAAAGCATCCTCCTTAAGCAGGGCCGCATGCAGAGCACACCCATGCAAACACCAGGCGGATCGACGAAACATATTATAGGACCTACTGTTTAGCTTTGTTTTTTTCTCCACACTTCGAATTCTCGCATGCAGTCAGTCAAAAGCTTGCAAGATCCGCACGGCGACGGCTTAATTTTTTAGATCCAGAAACAGCTTCTGGATCTTAATTTTAGAACCAGCATGGCCTGGATCTAATAAATAGATCCAATCGGTGGTCTGGGGAGCCACCTTCATCCGGTCCGCCTCCTTCTCGGCCTCCTGCTGCGCTTCCTTCACCAAGGCCGCTCGAACTCTCGCCGCTCGCCCCTTAGTCGAAGCCACGGCCATCATCCCTTGCAAGAACGGGTCCTCGAGGAAGGCGAAGCGGAGGCCGAACCGGTTCCGGAACCAAGTCATAGAACTCAGCGCCGAAGCCGTCCATGACCCGCGGGTGAGCCAGCGCCTCGGGTACGCCCCATGCTCGCTCAAAGTCTGGGCTTGAGCTTTCCAAGAAGCCACCGAAGTAACCGAAGGCCAGGGAAACGGCAAGAAGCGCAAGTCGGGAGTCGGGCCGCTTGACCAAAGCGAGGTGCAACCCTTCTTTTGCCCACGTCCAGCGCGCCAGGCTGCGCAGCACCATCCGCCGCCAACGAGGAAGTACTCCCACATGCCAAGGGCCGTCGCCTGCGCCGCCGGGAACGCCAAAACCAGGTGCCGAAGACGGTCGAAGCGCCACGCCGAAGGCTGCCATCCTTGGAACGAACAGTCGCGGAGGAGGCAGCCGGGGATTTCACGAGCGGCGCTTCACAGCACATCTTTCGGGCCGAGGTCAACAGCACGGAGTTGTACTCAAACACACGGCGGCCCAGCTCAAGGCTTGCTTCGGTCATGTCGTGGCTGTGGGGCTCATTCGGAGGAAAGACTGCTGCACTGGAGGGGGCCTGCATCAACTGTCGGGCCCAGGCCTTGCAATCCAACAGCATCTCTATCACATTGTCGGGTCCCAATTTCGCCACCGAGGCCTGGTAAGGTCGGGCCAGCTCTCTGGAACCAAAGGCAAAGCCAAATGCCCCGCCGAAAGCCGCTTCAGAGGCGCCTTCTTCGAATTAAAGACTCGGCAAACTAAGGAGCGCTCGGCAAAGTCGAGCACGCCTCCCACGGCATCCAAGAAGTCCCGGCCGAGTAGCAGGCCGAGGCTGCCCACAGGAACCGCCGAGACCCACACCAACAGCATCTCACCGGCAACCACAATCGGCAACCGATAGCGCACAAAGGAAGGCAAAATGCCTCCGTTCCCGAATTTGAAGCGCTCGGTCTCCGGGGCGGTCTGGATCAACTCTCGCACCTGGGCCGGCGCATCGGCTAGCAAGGCGATGTACTCCTGAATCCAAGCGTCACCTGCGCATGTCCGGTTGCATGCGCTGTCCAGGGCCCCGACCACAGCCTTGTCGGCAACATTCGCCGCCGAACTCGCTGCAACATTCGCCTCGGCGCGGGCCACCGACATCTCAAAGGCCTGCTGCAAGTTCCGCCCGGGCTCGGCATTAATCATCATCACCTCCCGAAGCTCGCCGTCACCGGCCTCGGTCTGGATCACCTCATTTTCGGCAACAACCTCGGCAATCTTTACACTCTTGGCAGGCCGGGCCTTTGCTCGGCCCAATCCCTGCCCAGGTTTGGTGCAGCCTTCATCTCCAGCCCAGTGCCCGGGAAGCCCGCAATCGAAGCAAACATGTTTTCCGTCCTTTTTCTTGGCCTGAATGCTTGCGGACCCTCGCCCGCGACCTTTCGCGGAGGAGCCGCTGCCAAAGCCAGGGCCCTTAAAGCCGCGATCTTTACGAACCTCGGCCAACTTCACGCGGGCTTCTCTCATCGACACCAAGGCCTCGGCACTGGCCTCAATCCCATTCTCCAGGGCCTCGAGGTGAGAGGGATCCACTCCCTCGGCTTCCGCCTGCTCGATCTCCTCGGCCAGCTGCTCCACCTCAGTCTGGAGCACCTCCTCCAAAGTGCGACCGTCGGCCTCGTCGACCGCATCGCCGGCCGGCTCGTCGACGAAGAGCTCGGAGACTTCCTCGGGCTCCTCCTCGACCACGGCCTCGGACACGTGAGCCTGCCTGGTGGAGAAGCGTCGCGCCAACTGCCCAGCCGAAGACGGCGCCGAGGAGACCGAGGATCGCCTTGTAGTGGGCGCGCCGCTGCTCGTAGAAAGTGACGGCGGCGCCGATGAAGACGAAGAGGGAGCGGCAAACATCCTCCGGATGGTGAGCTTGTTCGAGGGGCGGTCCAGCCGCCTGAAAAGCGGGTCCTGGGCATGCAAATCTCTGAAAAGTCTCAGAGATTCAGCTTCGATCGTGGAGTAGTCCTCGGTGCCGCCCAGAGCAGTTTCTAACAATTGTTTTCTCAAAGCATCCAGCCCAAGCTTCTCCTTGTAAAACCACCCAAGTTCAGCATCCGGAAGCTTAACTCCTTCTGACCTAAGGTCTGAGATGCTGGTCCGGAAGCGGGAGGCATAGTCCGCGACCCTCTCGCCCGGCTTGCGGCACATATGTATGTAAAACTGTGCCCTTAATTCTCCTCGCTTGTCCAGCGTCGATTGGCCATTCATCTTCTCGAGGGCGTCCATGAGGCGGTTGATCCCGAAGAACGGGTCTTCGGGCGTTATCTCCACCAGCTGCCCCGAGTCCGGGTCTGTGTAAGACTCGGCTTTCTTATATTGAAGATCTTCGGGAGAAAATTCCTCCCCTCTTTGCCTCACCGTGCCGCTTTGCCGCAAAAGCCATCGAGCCGCCAGGTTGTACTTCTTGGTGGCCTCGGCATCCAGGCTGGAAAGCCACCACTGCATCTCCCTCTTAAAGGCACGCCATGTCAAAGGAGAGCCGTCCCAAACAGGAACTTTCCCCCAAGCCCCATAGCCAGAGTCGCCGCCGTTCTTGTCGTCCATGAATTCGCTCGCTTGCAAAACCTGTAGTGAAACAAGCCCTCAAGCTCCAATCGCCAGAAGGCCAAGCAGCGACTCCGCAGGAGCTGCCGCCAGGCTGACCAGAAACCGAAGAGGAAGGCAGGTCGGAGAGAACACGAAGTGCGCAGGCTGCCCTGTTATCGAACTCAGCGCTCCGGTGCCACTGTGCAATCCAGGCTAAAGAGAAACCAGCAAGGAATCGCTCAGCTATGAATCACTTTTCCGCAGCAACAACTGTGGCTAAAGGCCTTGAGAGGTAAAAGGCCAGAGTCAGCCGGATGTCACAAGCAGCGGTGCACAGCGAATGCTTTATCACCCATCCATGACGAAAGACGTCGGCAAGCAAAGGCTACATGCCGACAAAGAGCGATCTGCATCAATGAGGACCTGCACGGTGCGCGGAGTTCTGCAATGTGACGTGTGAGTACACGGGACGGGACCAATGCTTGCGCACCCCACAAAATAAAGCTCCGAGCATGGCCCCCTGCAGCCAAGGGTCGCATACTCGAGGCCGATGCTGATGGCATAGTCCTCCACGGACCCTCGATGGGAGGGAAGTTTCTTCCTGAGGGTACGAGCGCCGGGACATGGCACGGCATGGCCTGCATTCTACTAGAATGTTTCGAGCGTGTCCCACGGGCTGCAAGAGACCAATGCAGCGCAGCGTCTCTGGAAGGCGGATGCCGGCACCGTTCAAGGTGAAATTGCCTCACCAGGGAAGAGATGGACGGGATGCTCGGGCTTCTTGAGATCCTCCAGCCCGAGTTCATGAATCAGCGCAGGCATGTCCCGTGCTCTACAAAATTGCCGTACATCTGCTGAAGACCGAAAGCGGTGCAGGCGCAGGACAAGGACTTTGCATGCATCTCGACATCGTGTCAAGTCAATTTCTCGACGACTGCTTGGATTCGATGCCCAGCTATTTCAATGCGACTCTCGCAGAGGGCTTCAGAAGTTCAGCTCAATCAAAAACACTAATTGCGCCCCAGCTGCTTCCAACGGACACCACGCGGAGCACCGCACGCACCGGAGCAGGCAGGAAGTCGAGACTGGAGACAGGGAGTCTGCCTCGAAGCAAACTTCTATCGTCACTGCCTGCGTCTTCCTTCGGCTCATGACAGCAGACGGAAACAGATATTTATGTGTTTAGCGGCAGTTGATTAAGCTTCGCCGTCATCTGAGTCGTAACCGCTAGCAAGCCCCTTACCCCTGCCTGATGCCAAAACCTACCCGGCTTCAACCTGTTACTAGCCTCCTGTCTGAAATGGGCATGCTTGCATATGCTTCCTCTCAAGCGAGCCATCTCACGAGCAAAGTGGCACCACACAGTAAGGTTGATCTCCGACAGTTTCAACTTCTCCTTGGGACAGCTGCCGTCAACTCGAAATGAGATCTGACACTGGAAAGGAAACCACTGCAGCACGATCTGAAAACACTCAACCTTCACGGTCTGATGTGAGACACAGCAGGTGAAAGGCGACAGTTATCCCGTCTGCAGCCCAACTTGAGAGATGCAGCACAGAAGCAACAGCAATTCTGAGGATGCAGTTCCGGGACAGTTCTCGACTCATGGGGGATCTGTCTCAAGTTAGACTCGTTATCGTAGTCGCGGGTCTCTTTGATAGAGACGGGAGACCGCTTCAGAAAGGCACGAAGTGAGCGGCGACTAACACGAAGTGGATCTCTCTACCTAAAGTTATGTGCTTTCCGCAAGCTCTGACATTTCGATCGGGACTGAAGCTGAAATCGTGTGCCGGGTCCAGGCTGATTCGACTGAGCCACGACAGACACAATTGCTGGCACTGCCGGCGGCGTGTAGCCTTCCGCCACGATGGCCCTGTGCCGGTAGAGTAAGTCGGAGCACAGGCTTTGCACAACCCTCCTCCCTTTCTGCACTGCTCTCGGAAGCCTTCCAGCTCGATCTTTGACTTCATCCCACTGCAAGCCCACGTCAATGGCTTCCTCAGGCCACGCAGACACTTACGCAGCTTTCAACCTAGGCACCAGAAGCGGCGCCATGACGCAAGGCGCTGGCCGTCCACGCCATGTCTCTTTCCATGCTACCATCACACCGAAGTATGCTGTACTACCCTGACACAAATCTGAAAACAAGGACCTTCTCACAAGCAACAAGGACCTTCTAACAAGCGGAAGAGCGCCCTCCCGAGTCCGCAAGCGAGGCTCTTGTGGGATCGCCCTCTGCAGCCAGCTGAGGAGTGGGGCGAGCCAGTCCTCGAAGCGCGTGCCAAGGGGATGGTGAGTTTCGTGCAAGAATGGAAGACCAAGGGTCAGCCGGTGACATCAGTGCAGCATCTAGGCTCTGCTACTGTTCTTTTTCCGGAGCAAAGACGAAAAATCCCGAAGCACCTCGCTCCAATTAGCGTGACTTTGATTGCATCAAGCCCCAAACCTGGACAGCACAGTCTGTGCAAGAACTCCAGACATGCCTCCTCCGAGCTCTTTCACTTAATTTTTGGCCCCGAGGCATTGTCCACCGTCACATCCAGCTTGTCCATGAGTACCTCTGCCTTGGGCAAGACCAGATCCTGTGCCGGCGGATCTAAAAGCGGGGGTCCTATCCTCTTTCTCCGAGGCTGCTCCGGCCCGGCCCGGCTCCTGGGAGGAGGTGGCTTCCCGCGTGATTTGGATGTCCAGGAAGTGCGCTCCCTTCTCGCCGTGGTTCGCCAAAATCACGGCCGGCTGCTCCTGCGCAACGAAACACAACCCCCCCTCCCTCAACATGTCTGCTGTGTTCTACACACTTCCATGTCCGAGAGGTCTCGCATGCTCCAAGCAATTGGCGATGACCCTGTGTCCATCTAGTGCTTGCAACCAACGTCCTGGCGAAGCACTCCAGCTTTGTGCCTTGGTTAGTCTAAGAAGCAACAAAATTCTGGCGATCTGCTGCCTACCGCCGCACTGTTCTGGATCTTGACCGGGGATCTGCGCTTCCAAAACAGGGACAAAGGCTTCTCGGATGACCAGTTGCTGATGCTTTTTCGACAGCATGGAGCCATCTGTGCGATCCGGCAGCTGGCAGATGCCCTGGGAAATCGAAATCTGGAAACTTAGGTCGAGGTTTTCAAGGAATGTGTCTACAGCTTGTCGGCATGATAACCTTCGCTAACGAAATCGGATGCGGAGCGGAGTGAGACTGCATGTGTCAGCAAGAACCGTCCTGGACTTCGCCGACCAGGAAGCGCAACCTCTGCTGGTTTCATGCTCAAGTCTTGCTAACAGGGGGACCAACACATGCTGGCAGAAGGCTGCTCCGAGTCAGCATCGGCGTTCTGGACGTAGTTCCTTTGACGACAGCAGATGGCGAATCAAGTTGGCTCTTGGGGTTGTGGATGGTGCAATAAGCCCTCAAACGGCGAGCCGAATTGAGGGTGCACAACGCTATGCTGTCTGAAAGTGGTCTCCAACCGAGTTGGGTTCTGAGACAGAACGTGCCAATTTGCAGACTGCACGGCAGTCTACGCAGGAAAACTTGGCCAGTGTACAATCTTGATAAATTCCAACGAGCGGCACATGGATGTCACCAATGTGGAGGAAGAGGAGCTCATGAGCTGTGGGCATGTCGTCCACGAGGGACACCTTGGCTATTAGCTGGTCAGCTGCCTCGCGTGCTTAAGTTTATGTTCGGACAAACGGTGCGGATGCTCAGAGCCTCAGTAGATGGCTTGCCCGGCGTCCATCAGGAAAAGAGAGAGAGAGAGAGGGATAAGACAAATAGACATACAGATAGATAGATAGATAGATAGATAGATAAATAGATAAACTTAGATAGACGTAGATAAACTTAGATAGACTTTGATAGAATTAGATAGACTTAGACAGACTTAGATAGACTGAGATAAACTTAGATAGACAGATAGATAGATAGATAGATAAGACAGATAGCTAGATAGATAGATAGATAGATAGAGAGCTAGATAGGTAGATAGATAGATAGATAGATAGGTAGATAGATACATAGATAGATAGACAAATGGATAGACAGATAGATAGACAGATAGACTGACAGACAGATAGATAGATAAATAGACAGATGAATAGATAGAAAGAAAGAAAAATAGACAGATGGAAAAGGATAGATAAACAGAGATATCATGATATCGCTTTTCTTGTCAGTATATGGGTAGCGTCACAGCCCTACTCAGCCTTCCAGCAATGAACAGAGGGACTCTGGCACGCAGTCGAAGTTATGCTCGCTTCCGTCAAGGAATCTGCAGAGCTTCCATATGGAACACTAGGTCGTCTATACTATCTGAAGCCCGTAGCCTTACAAAAAGCCAAAGGTGCACCTTGAGAGGAAACGTTGCAAGTGGTTTCGTCCGTAGCTTTGCACACATGGCATGCGCTGGAACTGAAGGCAAAACTACAAAGACTTGTGAACTGGCATTTCTGGAACCCTTCCGGGATCCAGCCCAAGTACTACAAACTACAAACTGCTTGAAGGCTCACGACATCGGGCCTAGGTCGTAGGGCTGAAGGCCTTTCGGCTCAGTATCGGATTTTGACGGGCGAAATGAATTTAGGGCTCTGGCCTTCTGGCTCCTCGGGAGTGGTTTCTGTGGTCTTTCAACATTGACCGTTCAAGGGAAATCCGTAGAGGTATTGGCGTCAGAGCTGCGCCGATCTGGCCGAGGCGGAGATCGACTTCAACCACCGACTCCTCGTTGGATCCCACTGACTGCTCCTGAGCTTGGGCTTGGATGGCTTGGATGCTGGGCGATGAAGTGGAACGAGACAGCAAGGCTTCCTGAGCTCTAGCGATTTCCTGGCTTCGGACATGCAACGAGAATGACAACACAGTCGGGGTGCGGGGACTTTGGGGGCGTGAGGCTGACATTTGCTAACGTGCTCCACGTGATTGGCTTTGGAGGTCTTTCCGGGGTGGAGTTGCTATTGTTTGGGCAACCACACGGTCCGGCTTCGCTGCCTTGTGGCAAGTGCAAAGAACGGCTACGGACTCCACGTCAGGCACTGCATGTTTCAGCCCTCCAAGGGGAATTCGATGTGCAAGGCGTGAGTCGCTCGTGGCCCTCTCGAGGACGCCGAGCCCGGAAGAAATGTCATCCAGGGCCACCTAAGACGGCGAGGCGTACAAGTGGATGGTGCAAGGGCGTGGGTGGCCTAAGCCGAAAGTCTGACTGCACCATACATCCAAGTTGCCACCGTGTTCTCGCCCACGCGCGACACAGAAAGCTTGAGCTTCTTCGCCTGCAGGCACCCCATGGAGCAGCGCAGCTGAACCAACAAGCTCCCCACGGCCCAGTCACCGAGCCCTGGAGGCTGGCAATTCGGACTCGGACTGCGCGCCTTGAGAGGGATCTCGGCCTTGCGCCCAACGTCCTCTCGTCGTCACCGAGTCCGGCTGAAGGTCGTGGGGTAATTTGCAGGCTCCGAAGTGTGGGTGTTGATGCTTACATGGGAGGACTAGGGATATGGCGATTCAAAAGGAGTGAATTTCTGGTTCTTTTTTTTTTTATCGCCTCTTTTCCATCAGCCCAAGGGGTGTCCGGAATACCATGCTGGTGGAGGCACTTACGAGAGGGCACCACATCAACGTTACCATACTCACACATGACCATAAGCCACCAAGACACTAGGCCCTCTCAGATGCGCAGAAAAGACTGGGGGTTATACAGGTGCAGCAGGCTGACAAGGCACCCCAACATAACCAAACAAAGACCTAGGCACCAGAGTAACCCCTTGTCACCTGCAAGCACGGGCGAGGTGTCCCAACCCTGACCTGCCCAAGCCACAACAGTCACTCGCATTTCCGCAAGGGACTTCACTGTGCAACGTGGCTTCACAGATCTCATGCCTGCTCGACGGCAATCACAACACTCTACAGCATGACCACGTAACTAGCAGTAAGAGGCCACTAGTCTCAAGTTCATGCACCCCGTCACAGTGTCCGTCAGCACGCATGGGCAGCTCGCACAACTAAACCATTGTATCCGGTAACCACTGCATAACACAACATGTCCCGCCCATGATGCGACTCCCCCAGTTCTCCTATGCTTTGCTACATCTCCTTGCTTCTACCCTCTAGCTCAGCATCAGGGAAAATGCCCATGATCTGCGTGTCGGCATCATCGTCCGACTCGTACGGCACCGTGGCAGGGACCTGCGCCTCATGGCCCATAGCTTCCTGCACATCGAAGCTCTGAGTCTCTACCTCAGCAGGATCCACAGTCGCAGCCGCTCGGATGAACTCGGCCATGTCACGGCCGACGGCCGCCACGAGGCTTTCCCATTCCAGAAGACCCCCTGCCCATCTGTTGTACCACGGTCTCACTTCTGGATCGGCCGTGTTGAACGTCCGCTGCCCTCTGGGCCTTTTCCTGGCCCTTTCTTGCTCAGCCTCGCATGCTGTCTGCTCGCCCTCTTGCAGCCGGCGTCGCGCCTCATCGCTGCTCTGAGCCACTCCTTGGTACAGGTACTCGGTCTCCATGTGCTCTTGCGCATCCACAATAAGGTGCACCTGCTCCCCTGGCCGAAGACGAAGTACCAGCGGCTGGGCACCCCCGTTTTGGGTGCTCGTGATTTGCACCTGCACTGTCCTGACCGTTCTGGTGCTCCACCCCAGGTGTGCAAGGACGGCTGCTCTGTCACTATGTTGGGCTGCCTGGGCTTGTTGCTGGACATGCCACGCATAAAGCTCCGCGTCCTCTTTTCGTTGCTGCTCTTCCTCGCGCTCCCTGTCTTCATAGAGCCGGGCCTCTGCTGCCTCGTGATCCAGGGCTGGGCCTTCGTGGGATGACGAGGCCGGCTCGCTCCCCGAAGTCTGCCTGGCTCTGCCCAGGAGTGTGCCACACCATCTTGCCGTCCACGGCCTCAGCCCACACACGACTTCTCCTCGATCAATTTGGGCTTGGAGTTCGCCACCCCCCGCCGAGTGAGCCACCAGCACCGCCTCGATGGAGCTCCACTCCTCGATCGCTTCTGACCTTGCCCGGAGTGCGTTGAGCAGGTCGGCGGCAGCGACTCGGGCAGCATCGTCCTGCATGTGCTCAAGTTCCCCATTAAGCACCGAGGCAGTAGTCGGCCTTCGCCCCGGGTTTCGGGCCATCCCTGTCAAGGACCGCTGCATGAGGCTGGGTGCATCCACCTCGCTGCCTTCTCTGTCCAACTGGCAACCAATTGCTTCGACAATATCCTGAACCCACTGCTGCTGTTGTGGCGGCAAGGTTGTCGGTGAGGCCTCGTTGCGGCGGGGTCTTTCTCTCCTTGCCACAACACTCTCAACAAGCCGGAACCATTCTCTGCCTCTCGCCTTCCTTGCCAGCGTGGTCGCCGAGCGGTCCAGGTCAAGGCGGGCGGCGTCCATCATGTCCTCCACCTGGTGCCCTTCAGCCCACCTGTCCTCAGCCCAATCTCTCAGCTGGAGTATGCGGCGGTGTGACTCCGGGAGGTTCCGTTCCATGCACCGGTCCAGTTTGCCACAGCTGTTCAGGTTCGTTTGGACCAGAAGGGTCTCTTCATTCTCCTCGCTTCCATCCTCCACATCGACTTCTATTTCCACTTCTTCACCTGAGTCCTCCACTGTTGTCTCCTCCACTGCAGCCCGAGATGCGGTTCCTCCTGACACCACGGCGGCCTCCTCGCTCGCCCTGTCAGGTGCAGCGCCCGGGGCTGCACTTCCTCGGGCCTCGCTCCGTCGGGGCACTAGCCCTCGGTCATGCGCAACCCGATCCAGGATTGCTTTCAAGTCCGCCTGCAGCAACTCAATGAACTGCGGCAGGGCCTCCATCATGGTGTCATACTCCCGCGGGGTCTTATCCATGAGCGTCTCGTAGACCGTGCTGTACTTGGGCTCGTTTATGAAGCCTGGCACGCGGTCTGGCACCTCGTCCTCGTAGTCCGAGTCCGTGTCCAGCCCCAATAGCGTGCGCCACAAAAACGAGGCTCCAAGCTCGTCCAGCTCGCCGCCCTCTCCATCTTCCGCCTCCATGCTCAGGCCAGCGCTCCCCGATGCACTGCTCCACGGTCTGGGCGCTGCCTCACACAGCGTCGGTCTGCTGCCCTCGCTGGTCCTGGCGCCTCGCCCTCTTGCTGCGCCACCGGGAGTGAGCACTCTTGTAGAGGACGTCACCGTCACTCCTGGTCCTTGGCGCCAGGCAGTGGGATTGTCGACGAGCCTGCGGAGGGTGCGGGAGTCTTTTTTCTTTAACAAGAACTTTTTGACGACGAAAGAGGCTTCTTCCACGTCCACGGCATCCCTTCTCTGAAGAAGGCCTCTGGCTTGTCCTGGAGGTCGGCACGCTGGTCTCGTTGTTGAGCATCTCGACGAACTTCGTGACCTCGCAACCTCTTGGGCTCGAGCCTCTACTTTGTCACCTTCCTGGAGGCGGTCGGGTTCACGGTGAGGACCGGGGCATACAGGTTCTTCGTCTTTGTCCGGGTTGAGGGGCTCAAGTGGTCGGACCTCATGCAGCCAATGCGTTCTCAGCGTTAGCTCGACATCTTCTTCAAAGTAGTCAATCTCCTCGTCGGCCACGGGCTCTCCTCTCGGGCCATCCTCGAGCGAGCGCCAGGCACGTCTCAAACCATCGACCCAAATCCGGGCCACTGCCTCGTATCGCGGGTCGTCCCTGGCTCTCACTCTGGCCTCGACTCCGTCGGCCAATGCCCACATGTCGCACCCTCCCCTCTGGATCTCACGGCTCTCCTGGAGGACTCTTTGCCACCATTGTGGTTCTTGCCCGTCGGCAAAGGGTTCTTCAAAGCCCCCTGCACTCCAGGCCACGGCAGCCATCACTTTCCAACCTACACTGACAAGCGAGTGGTCTTCAGCTTCCCAATTCTGCTGGGCCGGGCATGTTGGGCTGTCACGGCCGCCTCTCTGGCAAGGTGGGTCCTGCAGGTCGAACTTCCGGCGAATCGTGTAGTCGGTGCGAGCGGGGAGGTCGTCGAACCGCCGAGCTTGCTCAGGTACTTCAGGCGGACCTTCTCGATCACCTCCACGGCTAGCTGGGTCGTGCAAGTCGGTCTTCCGGAGAATCGTATGGTCGATGGGGACCTGGGAGTCGTCAATCCGCCGAGCTCGCTCAGGTACATCAGGCGGGTCCTCGGGATCATCCCCTCGTCGGGCTCGCCCATGTAGCCCAGGGCTACAGCCATCGCCATTTGCTCCCTGAAACACTTGCTGTTGCTCTTCCTCTTTCTCCTCTGGGGCCGTGGTCATCTCGCCGCCGACGGTCAGGTGAATCGTGCCATCGAGAGGGTTCCCAGGGTCGTCCTTCCGCCGAGCTTGTGCACGTAGCTCTGCAGCGCCGAGGCGAGGGAGCGGCCGACTCTGCGTCTCTGCACTCAGTTCCACACCGTGGTTGTCTTCCATCATGATCTGTGCATCGACGTTCGCCGGCTCGGCTTGGAGGCTTTGGCAGGCCGCCCCAGCCAACAGAAGCCACAGGGCCTTCCGCCCCACCATCTTCGAATTTCGCAGGGCTTACTCTCGGCCTGCTCGCACGCCTCACGGTTACTGTAGCAAAGCCAAAGGAGGCTGCACTGGACACGGCACTCAGCGAAGCGATTCTCAGCCTGTGCCTTGCATGAAAACTCAACTGCATCACATGCTCGTTGACTGAAAGACTGGACTGGCATCATGCACAAGAAAGCAAATAGTGATACTGCTGTAGAGGTGTATGTACTGGTAAAGGTTCTGCTCACACTTCACATTGTCTGGTTGGCTTGTGGTTCTGAGGGTTTTCGCAGGCAAGAAAAGTGGGGGGCTGGAGGGAGGGGTCACCTGGGCAAAGATTGGGGGCCCGAAGGTTCACATGGCCACCCCCTCTCCTTCCTAACCTTCCCGGGCATCTCTATCTCTGCAAAGCCAGCTGGCGCCCAGAGCACCACGCGACATCGTTCTGTTCGACCCACACCGGCTCCCGCTTCTTCCACTCAGCGGGGTCATTGGCCAATGTGCGCCACTCTCTGACTCCGGCCGCCCTGTTCATGCGCACCTCCTCGTTTGACATGTGCGGGTAGAAGGCCGCCGGATGCCGCACTCCATCCCGGAGCGATTGCTGCCGGCGCCACCAGGGCAGGGCGCGGAAAGTGTCTATTACCGAGCTCGCCGGCGGCTGTTCTCTGGCCGCTGCTCTGGCTACGTGCCCCCTATACTGCCAGTGCCGGCGGAGCCAGGTCGTACTCCACCGCTCCATTCCCGCATTGTGTAGGATCTGTCGCGCCGCCCTCAATCCTCTCATCCTAAAGTCCAGCCAGCCCTCGTCGGGCCGCCTTCTAATCCCTGACATTCGGGCCACCATCTCCAGCTGCATCGAGTTCATTGCTCCCATTGCCTGGTAGCTGGGTACCGCCGCTGCGGCGTACCACAGGGCAGCACCCCCTACTGCTGACCGGAAGACCTGCAGCCTCTTCTTCAGCGGCCCCCTGCACTCCAGGATGTTGCGGCTGGCGAAGTATTTCTTTCTCGCCTTGGACAACCCCGTGTCCATGACCGAAGCGGGTTTGAAGGGAACCTGCAGTCGGACCCCCATAACCTCCAGTGCCGTGGAGGACTGCACTAGGACCCCATCAAGATTGATCTGGGGCAGACTGGCCGCATATGGGGAACAGTAGAAAGCTGTCTTCTTGCGGTTTACTGTGAGACCCCAGGCCCCCAGCTCGCGACTGAGTATCACGAACTTTCGCTCAAGGGACTCTCTCTGTGTGTCCCACAGTACGCTATCGTCCATGAACAACAGAGAGGACAGCTTCAAATCTGGTGCCCCGCTCAGCTCCTGCGGCCACTCTGCATGGTTCTGTGCACGATGCAAGGCACACTCCATTGCTACGGCAAAGATGAAGGGGCTCTCTACCGAGCCTTGCCGTATTCCCCTCGTCTGAGCTATGCACTTTGCCCCCCAAGGCGTGCGAATGCTCGCCACACTGGGGCTCAGCAGCTGTTTCCATGCCTCAAACTCCCTACACATGTCATCCGGCAGGTTGTCCCGGAGGTACTCCAACACCTTGCCTCTGTGGATGGAGTCGTAGGCTTTATTGATATCTAGTTTTAGCCAGCTCATGCCGAACCGCCACTCGGTTTCCAAAGCAAAAGTGCGCATGACCGTAAAGAGATAATCGGCGGTCTGTCTTCCGCCTAAGGCGCACTGCTCAGGGCCTCGAGGCCTGAGCACCTCACGGGTGCGCTTAAGCAACAAACCCCCGTACACTTTGCCAATCGCCGAGCTCAAACTGATGGGTCTCAGGTCAGCAGGGGACTCCGGCTTCGGTTTTTTCGGGAGCAACGTGATGATCGTTGTAGTCCATGCTTCAGGGATCGGTGCTCCCAATCGGACCGATTCCATCCAGGCCAGCAGGGATTGCTCCGACGTCTCATTGTCACACAAAGCTTTGACCAGTTCGTACGATGTCAGGTCCAGGCCCACTGCCTTCCCGGTCCGTCCCTTCCGCACAACTTCACGGAGCTCCTCCACTTCAAAGGGCTTACCCAAACTCGGGTCTCGCCCCCACCCGACCGCTGCATGCTCGCCCACTGCCGCTCGGAAGATGTCTGCAAAGTGTTGGACCGTCCACACCAGGGGATCCTTGCCTTGGGAGCACGCCTCCTCTGTGAGGTACACTGCCCACTCAGTCCCGGCATGCTCTTTGAGGTCCTTCATGTCTTTCCAACTTCCCTGGCTCGCCCTTTGGACCTTGGCTTGGGTCCACTCGTCTCTGGCTCTCTGCCGGGCTTTCTGGGCACTCTTCCACGCCTCCTCTGTGCCGGCAGCACGTGCATGGCGAAAAGCTCTTTTGACATGGGGGGGATCTCGGTATCTCTGGCCACGTTTGGGACGAGTAAACTCCACTGCAAGCTGTTCCACTCTGGCCTGGTTCAGACCTGGCTGGGGGGGGATTTCGCCTGTGACAACCCTGGGTCTGGTTTCACCCTGCCTGACTGGCAAGGGACTGCCATCCAGGGGCAAGGTGACCTTTAGCCTCTCATGATCTCCCCCAATTTGCCGGTACGATCCTTCCTCAATGCTTACCTGCGCTCTCTTGGTGCCATGCGTGCAGACACCATCGATCTGGTGCCCTCTAGCCCCCCGACGACGCGGCCTGCTGGTCGGGGTGCACCATTGGTCTCGATCCGGGCCGTGCAGCTGGTAGCCCCTCCGCTCGAGCTCGGAAAACAGGTAGTCTGCACGCCCCGTAGTGGGCAGGGGCTGCCCATGTGCTCCGGCTGCTCCTGTCCACTCCAGCCTCGTGTTGTAATCGGCAAGCACGATGCTAGGCAAACTTGTGGGGGGGCGAAGCGATAGAACTTGGTGCATCTCGTCTGCTGTCTGGGCATCCGGGACACCTGTGCTGAGTCTCGCCGAGCAAACCCAGAATTCACGGCCGGACGACTTCTTTCTCAACCTCAACCACACCCCAATGTCGTTCGCTTTGCGCCGAAGGCACACAAACTCGGCTGCCGGGTATAGCACCCCGTTTCCTCTCCATTGATCTTCTCCTCGATACTGCACCAGGGTGCGCCTGTCATGCTGTGTCGTTTGCCAACCTGGTGAGGTTCTAGGTAACTCTTGAAGTGCGAAAATCGCCTTGTCAATGACTTGATCAGTACTGTGGACCGTGGCAGCGATAGCTGATTCAACTTGCTTACCACCTATGTTCCACGAAAAGAAAAGGTTTCTGCCCTCGTCAGTTTTAGCCCCTTCGGGGCAACTTTCCAGGCAGGGCTCTCTCGTGTGGCAGTCCCCCGGCGGTGCTGTACAGGCCCCCGCAGTTCGCGGCCCGCATCACTTCGCACTTGTTGTCGAGGTGACTCCGGTGCCCCAAGAACCGCACGAATGCACTCTAATTCGTATTCCACCAAGCCCTCTTGCTCGTGTCACTCAGCGATCAAGGCTTCCCAACGATCAGCAAGGCTCTCCCCGGAGGTGCCCAGCATCCGTGCAATGTGGGGCACATCGACCCACATGCCCGGCGCCTTGCCCTGCTTCACCACTGCCCCTCGGGGCGGGGCACGGACAGCACTGGCAACGAGCTGAGATCGCATCCATACCGACCCGGCTCCCCACTCGACATCCATAGCATGCTTCTCGGAAGCATTGACTTCCAGGATGAGCCTCTTGGTCTTACCAGCATGGCCTGCCCTCAACCTCTCCATCTTGCTCTTGCTAAGAGCAGCCCACAAGGTTTTCCCATTCGGCATAGAGGTAGATGCCATCGAAGCCCCTCTGATGTCCTGCACAAGCTTGATCAGCCGCCTCTTGAGGTCCTGCTTGCTCTCCCCTGCTGGCCACTTGACCAGCCCCATAGCATGCCCTCGCCTCGGCCCCGTGGTGAAGATGTCCTGAAACTGAGCACGGACACCAATACGAGTGAGCAGATCTTCTAGCTCCGGGAGCAAGTCGGCCTTGTGTGTGTCAGCATCCCATCCGCCCAGGATAACAAGGTTCTTTTGGTGCCCTGCATCCCCTCCGTGCGACCCCGGGAAAACCGTACTCCCCTCGGACTTCTGACTCTCCACTGCAAGCATCCGAGCCTCGAGGCGCTCATTTTGGTCTCTGAGTTGAGAAATGTAGTCAGCATGGCGAGACAGCTCCGACTTGATCCCCTGGAACTCCGCAGCCGTCGCGGCGCGCAGCTCTGCCACTGCCCCTCGGATCGCCCTGGCCTGGCTTTCCGCAATGTTCTCGCTCTGCTGACCAAGCAAGGTCTTGAGGTCGTCAAGGGTGACTGCCCCACTAGCTTCACGCCGCCGAGAGCCTCTATGAGCAGGCTCGCCGCCGCCTATGCGCTGGAGCTTAGGGCTGCCCGCCACATCCCTTTCATCATCGGAAACGGGCACCGGAGTTTCGTCCGCCATGCCCAGGAAGTTTTTTCACGGGAAGGGGGAGGGGCAGCCTTGAGCCTTGAGCCTTGAGCCAAAATGGCTCAATGAATTTCTGGTTCAATACTCAGGGTTCAACAGAGGGCCTCGGGGTAACCGAAGAGACTTACAAGGAACAACGCGCCGTCCAGCAGTTCCCAAGAAGCTAACGGTTCTTCTCAAAGCCCCGTGTTGGCGTTGAAGTGAGCTGTTGCCAACATTTCTGCTGCACAGATCCGGGGCGGGGCCCTCGCACTGATTGGATAAAAGACTCGCGGCTAAGCCTAGATGAAATTTCTCTTGCGGAAATGAGACAGAAGAGCTACATAAACTGCAGCCTCATCAACTCCGAGCCTGACATCCCGCATCCTGCGTCTCTGTAGTTCCTCTGAGGAGCTTAACGGTCGAGCCTTGATCACGATCTCTTCCCCATCGACAGAGATGCGCAGAGCTGCCTTCCTGGGCTGTCGATGGTACCCCCTGCAGCCTACATGCGAAGCCTGTGAAGCCGTCTCCGAAGATCGATCTCTCCGAAGCTGAGCGGCTCATTGGCAAACGGGTTGACCTGTCAACACGGCTTTGCTCTGAGACTCCACCACTACAAATGCCATCTACAGGCTTTGCAAGCATGGACCACTCTACGATCCTAGGCAGATCGGTGCAGAGGGCACAGATGCTTTGTTTCTTTTTGGACGTCGAGATTCACAAAGAAATAGTGCTCAGTGCTACTGAAAAGAGCTGATGCGCTGCCGACGGGCGGCCCAGCCAATGGCAACCTCACCTTTGCCGGCCCTCGCAGAGGTTGGCACGGTGTTCGTTTTCCTGCACTGCAGACTGAGCGGAACCCCCGCCCATCAGCTCATCAGTTCTTAACTGACTCAACACCTCTTGAGACCCGAAGCCATTCCCTCAACCCTTAAGAACATGCCGCCAGGGTTCGCATCTCCGGGCAGCACCATCATCTCGGCCTTTCGGTGGCAGTTCGTGGATCAGGGTGATCGTTGCATGATTGGTGGCCTTTTGTGCATTGGGCGATTTGGGAGTTGAGTCCATCGGCTGGGTAGGGTGCGAAACAATAGAGCTCGGTGCCTGAACAAGGCCTTCCCGCCACTTTGCACCAGTACCGCAAGTATCTGGTACTGTCAGGTAGGCGACTGCCGACTTCTACAGCATATCTTGGTTGAGTAGATGTCCAACGGTCGGTAGCAAGAAAGCCAGACTAGGTTCTCTTGTTTCAATGGTGATGGTTGTTGCCACGATGGTCATCACAGCCAGCACAAAACAAAGGCAAGCGCAACACCAATCTTGTCGCAGCCCACATTTGCCACCAGAAGCCCCTAATACCTTGCTGGCCTTGCCCTGCGTGGCACGATTCACGGCGACGCAGGTGGAACCGGATCTGACCGCTGCAAGGCTCATGAGCTTAGGGCTCTCTCTTCCCCAGTTCGATCAGTGAGCCATTGATCTGTAGGCCTGTACTATCACGACGAGTACGGTGGCTACAGGAGCGATATCTTGGCACCAGCATTGCGACTGCTGTCGCAAGCACCTCTCAGCAAATACCAATGTACATCAAAAGACAGTGCAATCGAGTTCGCTCGTTCGAGTAACCTTTCGAAAAGTCCTCGAACATCCCCAAGACATTCCGCCTTGACTTAGCCCCTGCGGCCCAAGCGCTTCAGGACAATGGCGAAAGCACCGCTCGAGGGGGCCAGTGAGGCAGTCCACACCAAGGGCATGGCTGTCTCCTCCTGAGGTCACTAATGACACCGAAGCTGTTAAGGGTTGAGAACTAGAGTCGTGTACCGGCGTACCGGTCTGTGAGCATAAATGCGAAGAGCGCGAAGAGCCCAGTGCCTCGAAAAGGGGCTTCGGTGTTGAGGCCGACACAACGCGTCGCTTTGAAGCGAGCAACACCGACCAGCTTTGAGTTCCTCTCCCTTCTCACAACATTTGCAGCGAGTGTCCGTCGCAGTCAGCAGCATGGAGGAGGAGCCCGCAGCTTGCTCCTTAGGATCTGAGAATGCACGACAAGTGCGTCAGGCAGAGATAGCTGCTGTTTTACTTACCGGGTCAGGAATGGAGTTTTTGGGGCCTCGCACCAGACAACTCTAACAGGACTGAGCCCAGAGGCGCAACAGGGAATGGCCGGCGACCAATCCACCTTTCCGGCACCTCGCAGAAGGCACATGGAGAGAGCCGCACAGGTCTTGGTGTGGGGCTCTGGACGCCTTGAGGGCGTGCTTATCCTCCGAATGTAGAATTTGCGCAACATGCTGCAGATTAGGACGCCTTAATGCCCAAATCCAAATCCTGCATCCTCAAGCCGTAAGCTCAGTGGATCCAAACAGATGATGGCCTCCAGCTGGACGCAACTTCATCTCCGGAGCCCCCTCGGGCGCTTTTCTGTTGTTTCTGAAACCCTCCTGCAGGTTCCTGTATCACTCTCGAAGCTCTGAAGCTCAACATGCTCAACCCATGTCTGTGTGTGTGTCTGCGTGTGTGTGTGTGTGTGTCTGTGTGTGTGTGTGTCTGTGTGTCTGCGTGTGTGTGTCTGTGTGTCTGTGTCTGCGTGTGTGTGTGTGTGTCTGCGTG